CCACCCGCACACACGCACACACATCCACCCAACACACCCACACAGACCCACCCACCCAACACACCCACACATGCCCCTCCCACGCAGACCCCTCCCACACAGACCCACACCCACACCCCCACACACTCCCAGAATTCAATGGTAAAGACACCCATCACCTGCCCGCACCAATAGCTCCAAGTCACGAGTTGATCAATGAATTCAAGTTCAACCCCAGATCAGCAAGGACACTTGTTGTAAACCTCCCTCTGCTCCCTCCATAGTCAAACTGCTGTGGATGAAAGGTGAACAGGGGCAATATAACAGACGCATCAACTTACCACAGCCTCTTTATCAGCCACGCCAAACGCGGCTTTTTGTCGCCTGCTGGTGATGTAGCTGGAGTTTTCCTGCAGTTTTTCCAGCAGTTGTTTGATCTGTTTACAGTAATTGGCCACTTTGCATTCCTTGAGAAAAGCTTTCAACTGTAAGAATAAAAGGGCCATACATCAGGGCGAGGCAGCTACTTGTTTGACCAACTCGTTACGTTCCCGAATCACACTAACAGAAGCTGCGCCCACCCTCAACACAAAAATGTGCCACTTTCTGCCCACACTGGCATTCTACACCCATCAGATTCTGCCTTCAATAACTCACTCAGTCCTTACCCCATCCATTTGGGAAAACTTTTGATGTGGGGACCATTACCAAAACAGTATGCCCTTACAGTTAAGTATTGCGTGAAGCACTAATGATTAGCATTTGTTCTGGCACATGCCTTAGGAAGTGCTGTTGACATTTCAAAGTGTAGTACAGAAAAAAAGCGAGACAGATTTGGCATAGAGAAATGGTACAGCAGCCAAATACTGATCCTATGTCGTGGAACATTTCGACATGACTTCCAAATAGGATGAACCTTTTGCTCCTCCTGGCTCTTCAGATTAAGCAACTAGTGAAGATCACATGCCACTAGCTGGTGGAAAATTCAAACAAGAACGGTATTTTACTTTTCAAATCTTCAGAAATTGTATCCATCTGCCTGGCACTGCACAATCAATCATTTTCCTGTTATCCTTCTCCAGCCCCCACCCAAAATGCCTTCAGAATGTAGATTGTTTTGTACTTATAGTTTGGCAGTCTTGCTGTGAAGCTGTCTCAACTGGTTATCTCAAGAAACCGGGTGACTCGCCTCTTCTAAGCTACACTAGAGTTCTGGATGATTTTAACACAAAAAGGAGCTGGAGATAGCACCTTTGCATTCTGCAAACACTACAATGATTTACTTTCATCCCTGTGTAGTGTGCAGCCTCCTAACTCTCAAACTGCATGCTACACAATTTCTGGGGAACAACAACAGTTAAAAATCCAAGTATCTTCATTCTCTCACGTTCTGAATATAGCAGTGGGTCTGATGGCTTGGGCTGCCATCGCTAGGCCGAGATTTCACGTGATGCCAGTTCGCTCAGCTGTCTGAACAACGGTGTGGATCAGATAAACGCCAGCAGCACGGAGCCTGATTCTGGATCTGGCTGTGGTACAAGCAAAAATAATCAGCAGTGACCTGCTGTGGTTCAGCAAATGGCCACAAAAACTCTCCTCGGGCAGGAACTGATGTCGTAGTGGTAACATCCTTAATAATATCTAGTCTTGCCTGAATATTATTTAATTGTAAATGGTTAAATACTGAGCTTCCAAAGTAACAAGTGCCACCTTATATCTGGCTTAATTTGGAGCAAACGTTACCAGCAACGCAATGATGCAAACACAATACTTGAGCAAAGGCAAGATACCATGGATGCACAGAGAACGCAGTGGGTCTGGCAGCTTCACTGGACATACAGAAACAGAGTTAACGTTTTGAGTCTGGCACACTGCTTCTTCCAAACTATTAAGCTCTGCTGGGTTGCTCCAACATCCTCGCTGCTTGTGTTTAATACTTGAGTATTATAATGTTAGTTAATAATTAAATATGTAGACCAGGCTACAGGCAGAGATGTATTTTATGTCTGAGCTTCAGAAAATGCACATTGAGCTGAATGAGGAATTCTACAGTTAAATTAAAATATATGAGCAATGGAAATACACACAACTTTCAAACATTGTCCTTAGCTGTTTCATACCTGAATGACAACAGGCAATAATAGTTCTGGAAAACCGATGGTATGTGCCTGCGTATGAAAATACTCCAGAATCAGGTCATACAGCTGTTCTATCAAACCATCCTGCAATGCAAAACAACACACAGTTTAAAAGATCATCTAAAAACTATCAGTATTCAAACACAACACTTGAAACTGCAGATAATAATCTGTCCAAAAACACAAATTTCTTGTGTGTCTTGGCGATCGTGACTTATACACCTTTGCTACCAGTGTGGTCTCCCTATAATATTTATCATCTGCTAAAGGACTGGGCTCAGCGCCTAACGAAATAAGTTATGGAATATCATTCCTGCAAGAACCAGGCAATTTCTTAGCACAAATTGGAGCAAATGATTGGTACGACAGATGATTTGCTATCGGCCAGTTACTGACATGTTGACTGCCTCTGGGACTTTTAATGCAAAACTGTGGTACTAGGGCAGGAAATCACATTAAGTGCAGACATTCATAGGATTTGTTACTGGATGTTGCACTGCAACAAATCATTTACTGGACCTACTGTGTGCGAGGGCTTGATGTGGTTCCCTCCTCAGTTATTCCTGACAGAGGCTCTAGAGTAGATTAAAGTGGTGGGACAAAGGACTCGCACAAAATTATTAAGCTTCAAGGGCTATAAATCAAAAAGGAAGGGCATTGAATGCAAATTTCACAGCAAGGATTTAAAATAGCCTACTCTCGGCAAGTAATGCTGAACTTATCATAGGGATAACAGAAGAAGATATATTACATCTTTCCAGTTGTTAGGATACTTAACAAAGGATTATTTCAACTTTGTCACCAAATGATTTGGTTTCATCTCCTGTACATACTTGTGTAAATATCGAGTTTCTCAGTAAAAACTTTCAGGCAAAAGGTTGGCATGTACACAAGTAACATTTTGAAGGATCTGAAAGTCACTCAACCAATCACCTTGCTATCACAGAGTTGCCAGGTCAGAGACTAGCCTCTCCCCCTACTCCCTGTGCCGAGATTTCATAGATCATAGAACCCCTACAGTGTGGAAACAGGCCCTTCAGCCCAACAAGTACACACCGACCCTCAGAGCAACCCACCCAGACCCATCCCTCATAACGCACCTAATCTACACATCCCTGGACACTCCAGGGCAATTTCCCATGGCCAATCCACCTAGCCTGCACATCTTTGGACTGTGGGAGGAAACCAGAGCACCCGGAGGAAACCCACGCAGACACGGGGAGAATGCGCAAACTCCACACAGACAGTCACCCGAGGATGGAATCGAATTTGGGTCCCTGGCGCTGTGAGGCGGCAGTGCTAACCACTGAGCCACCGTGCCACTCCCAAAAACGGAAAAGGAGTTAAAAGTATGTGTGCAGGCACCAGAAGATAATAGGCGCTTTCAATATTGTGATTCTACCAAGCAGACTGGTACCAGGACGAGCTGACATCAGCAGCGAATGGGTCGAAAGTACAAAAGGTCTGGAATTTTTGGCCAAAAGTCAGGAGTTGACTTATACCGGAGATTGCACTTTACGCGAGTAAATACAGTAATTCATATAAACCTATGATCTCTCAAACCAGGTTTCATTCTGGGATTAGCATTGTCCAATAGTATTACCATTAGCTGGCCTCACTACAAGGTACAGAACATCAAGTTTTGTGACCAGAAAGAAAACTAAATACGAATGTCAGGATGGTTGAAATTCCGGCATCTACAAAAATAATACACTCTTTTCGTCAGAGAGGAGGAAGCGGGATGCTGTCTCACAAAACACGCATCCAAACGCCAAACTAGATACAGGCCCACTGCCAAAACATAACACTGACAGAGCCTACATCAAGATGGATTGAAATCTATGGAAATTGTTCATGGGGCTCAACAAGGTTCAGAACTCTGTTGGTCCTTTATTCATTCACGGGATGAGGGCATCGCTGGCCAGGCAGCAGTTATTGGCCATCCCTAATTGCCCAGAGGGCAGTTAAGAGACAACCACATTGCCGTGGGTCTGGAGTCACATGTAGACCAGGCCAGGTAAGGATGGCAGTTTCCTTCCCTAAAGGACATTAGTGAACCAGATAGATTTTTTCCCAACAATCGACAATGGGTTCACGGTCATCATTAGACTCTTAATTCCAGATATTTTATTGAAATCCCACCATCTGCCGTGGTGGGATTCAATCCCAGGTCCCCAGAACATTATCTGGGTCTCTGGATTAACAGTCCAGTGATAATACCACTAGGCCATTGCCTCCCTATTGCTGGTGTTGGTTATCAGATAATTATTTACATTTAAACAAGCGTCCTTCACAAACCTGGATAGTACTCCATCAGCAAGGGTTGACTAACCTTCCTGTGAAAGCACAACAGGCCACAATAGCATTTCAGGAAGCTCTGTGATCCAGTCTGGTCAAGCAGTTTCTACACACAGCCCATCAGTTGAACAGTGACATGTTTAAACGGAGTACAGTGCAATTTATGAAGCTGAGGGACAAATTTTGTTCCATTTAATGATCTCAGCAAATCGAGATGTTAATAAAGCATCTGCACCTGAAGTAACAGTTTGATGGTTTCAGAGCCAGACACTGAGGGCAGTTGTGTATACTGACCCTCACCTATGTTTCTGATCATGACACCATGGAAGAACTGGGTGAGATTTGAGTTTATTAAAAAACAAATTCCTCACAGCTTGCTCGATCATTTCGAAAGGCATTTAAGAGTTAAGCACATTGCTGTGGGTCTGGAGTGACATGCGGGCCAGACTGGATAAGGATGCCGGATTTCTTTCATTTATAGGATGTGAACTGGATTGATCTTTTGTTAAGGCAATTGACAATGCTTGCATGGCCACGATGACTGAGACTAGTTTTTACTTTAAATAGCCCAGATTTATTAGAGTCAGAGAGGCCTACAGCACAGAAAAAGGCCCTTTGGCCCATCGAGTCCATGCCAGTCAAAAACAGCTACCTAACTATTCTAACCCCATAGCTCATAGCTTTGTGTGCCCGAGCATCACAATGGCATATCTAAATATTTCCTCAATGTTATGAGGGTTTCTTACAGCCAGAGAGTTCCAGATTCCCATCACACTCTGAGTGAAACAGCATTTCCTCACATCCCCTCAAAACCTCCTGCCCTGTGACTTAAACTCATGCTCCCCGGTCATTGATCCCTCCACTAACGCGTTCACCCCGGGATTAGGGCATTCCCAGCGGGTTCACTCCGGAAAGGGGAATTCCCAGCGGGTTCACTCCGGAAAGGGGAATTCCCAGTGGGTTCACCCCGGAATGGGATATTCGCACCACGTTCACTTCAAAGTGTCCGCTGCGTTTTGAAAACAATGCAACGTCCAAGCCTTCCGGCTGTGAGGTCGATCCTCCTGTGGTCTCTCTGACAACACCTGGATTAACATTGCTATCTCAAAGCTTTCTAAACTATGTCTTAAACAATATCCGGAGGCGTCGCTCGATGTGATAACAACAGATGACCGAGAAGTGATCCTCTGGTTGTCGAAAGGGGGAGCTCCAATTAACCTTAACCGGGAACAGTCAGTGTGTAATAAGGCACTTGAAGTGAGGACTTGGGAAGATGGGTTCAATTCAGGTTGCCATGATGTGGAGATGCGGGGTGTTGGACTGGGGTGATCTCAACTGATGAAGGAGCAGCACTCCAAAAGCTTGTGATTTTAAATAAACCTGTCGGACTCTAACCTGGTGTTGTGTGACTTCTGACTATTGAGGTTGTAATTGGACTGAGAAGCAATTACACTTATCTTTAAACTCACTGGATACAAAGGAAACTGCAGCTTGAGATTTATTCAGATTGAAGTAACAGTATACAGGATAGAATCTTGTAGCAGTGTGAAGGTCTCAGGAGCATAGACAGAACATAGAACAGTACAGCATAGTTCAGGCCCTTCGGCCCACGATGTTGTGCCAAACTTTTACCCCAATCCTAAGGTCTATCTAACCTCCACCCCTACCTTATACTATCATCCACGTGCCTATCTAATAGCCGCTTAAATGACCCTAATGAGGCCGAATCCACTATCCTCTCCTGCAATGCATTCCACGCCCCTACTACTCTCTGAGTAAAGAACCTACCTCTGATGTCTCCCCTATATCTACCTCCACTCACTTTAAAACTATGGCCCCTCGTAATAGCTACCTCCACCCTAGGAAAAAGTCTCTGGCTGTCCACTCTATCTATACCTCTGATCATTTTGTACACCTCTATCAAGTCACCTCTCATCCTTCGTTGTTCTGAAGAGAAAAGCCCTAGCGCTCTCAACCTTTCCTCGTAAGATCTTCCCTCCATTCCAGGCAACATCCTGGTAAATCTCCTCTGCACCTTTTCCAACGCTTCCACATCTTTCCTGTGATGAGGCGACCAGAACTGGACACAATACTCCAGATGTGGCAGAACCAGGCTTTTGTATAGCTGGACAGGAGCAGGGATGGATGTTTGTGTGTGAGCAAGGCGGGATTTCGAGCACACGTTATCGGCAAGCATCAAACAGGAAGCTGTGACTGAAATCACTCTCCTCTTTTGAGAGAGGAGAGGAAGATGTTCTGATGCACCACAGTTCCACGATCATAATCCTCATCATCCCACGAGTGAGGGACTCAGTTACCTGTTAGCGCACAACTTACCCTGAAAGCTTTCTCTTGTAAATTTGCGGTTGATAACTTCAGAATTACAGCGTAGTTGATTGGTCGAACACTCATCCGGCCAGGCTTCTTGTTAAAATCAACCTGTTGGAAAACCTAAGGAGACAATCACAATTATCATTACACAGAACTGTATTTTTAGATGACATGCAGTTTACAATATTAGCCAGAAGTCAACGCTCAGATCATGAAATTGTGATGTGAACATGGTTCGCCCATTGTTAAAAAAAATGACCTCCTTTCTTCCACCGAAATGGGAGAACCACCACAAAAATCCTTTGCCCACATGAGAATTTGTTCACTCGTTACCTGATGGAATTCAAATCTTTTGGGCCAAGATATGTAGAACACACAAAATAAACGAGCACCCTTTACTCAATCACACGTAGAGACTGCGTAAAACTCATGTGCAGCCTGCACGACCACTCTCCCCTTTGCTCGTTCCTCCACGCGCTCTCTGTCTTCCTCCGCCACACTCTTCCTATCTCTCTCCCTGCTCCACGCTCTCTCAGTGCCCCCTCACCCCCACGTGCTCTCTCTCTCCCTCCTCCACGCTCTTCCTATCTCTCTCCCTCTTCCATGCTCCCCCTTCCTGCTCCACGCTCTCTCAGGCCCCAAATCCTCCATGCTCTCTCTCTGTCTCTCTTCCCCACCCCACACTCTCTCTCGCTCTCTCCCTCACCCCCCCACATTGGCTCGCTCCCTCCCCCCTCCATGCCGGCTCCCTCCCTCCCTCACCCCTCCACGCCAGCTCTCTCCCTCCCTCACCCCGGCTATCTCCCTCCCTCACCCCTCCAAACCCTGTCCATCTTACTTCCCGACATTCTCCCTCACTATCTTGCCCCTCTCTTTTCTCTCCCAATGCCCCCCATCCCACCCAAACACTGAAGGACATTTCTACCAGCCTGCAGGGCTTCCTGTAGCTGGGGGCAGCTGGTCAAACAAGCTGTGCAGGCTAGAAGCTTGTTAAGTTCATGTCTTTACCACCCTTTATCTGAAAACTGTTACCCTTCTCTAGCAGGGTCTAGCCTGCGTAAGCATGTCTGTGGATCTTAAACTGGCAGCCATATTGCAGCACCCACACCTCAACCAAGCTGCTCCTGCAACTATTTGCCCTCTGACCCTTTCAGTCTCTAGTGCAGTGAGCACCAGACCTACAAGGTGATGGATTAATGAGCATGGACCGCCTGCTAACTCTTCCCGAAAGCAGATATATGGGAACACCACCACCTTTGTGTTCCTCTCCAAGCCATTCACCATCCTGACTTGGAAATATATCACTGTTCCTTCATTGTCTCTGGGTCAAAATCCTGGAATTCCCTCCCTAAGGGCATTGCGGGTCAACCCACAGCAGGTGGGTTCAAGAAGGCAGCTTGCCACCACCTTCTCAAGGGGCAACTAGAGACGGGTAATAAATACTGACCCAGCCAGTGACACCCACGTCCAACAAATGAATGCCTACAAAAAAATTTCTTTACAGACCTGATGATGAATTTGTTTATGAACTGTAACAATGGTGTATTGTGAAAACACAATCAAATTTGCACTTCTCCTAGAGTTTGTCAAAGGGAAACACAAAACCTGGTGGAGTTGTGGATAGTGAGGAAGGTTATCAAAGAATACAGCAGGATAAAAATCAGTTGGAAAGTTGGGCGGAGAAATGGAAGATGGAGTTTAATCTGGAAGAGATGCATTTTGGGAGGTCAAATGCAAGATGGAAGCATACAGTAAATGGCAGGACCCTTAGGAGCACTGATGTACAGAAGGATCTTGGGGTGTATGTCCATAGCTCCCTGAAAGTGACAACACTATGAGAGGCATAGATAGAGTGGATAGCCAGAGACTTTCCCAAGGCAGAAATGGCTATCATGAGGGGTTTTAAGGTGATTGGAGGAAGGTATGGGGAGATGTCAGAGGTAGGTTCTTTACACAGAGAGTGGTGGGTGCGAGGAATGCACTGCTAGTGGTGTTAGTGGAGTCAGATACATTAGGGACATTTAAGCGACTCTTGGATAGGTACATGGACAATAGCAAAATGAAGGGAATGCAGGTTAGTTTGATCTTAGAGTAGAATAATAGGTCGGCACAACATCGTGGGCCGAAGGGCCTGTACTGTGCTGTACTGTTCTATGTTCCATTTTCTAACTCAAGTGGATAAGGTCGTAGAGAAGGCATATGAAATGCCTGCCCTCATTAGTCAGGACATTGAGTGCAAAAGTTGACAAGCCATGCTACAACAGCATAAAACTTTGGTCGGGCCACATTTAGAGTATTGTGTGCAATTCTGGTTGCCACACAATAGGAAGGATGCGGAGGCTTTAGAGAGGGTGCAAAAGAGGTTAACCAGGATGTGGTCTGGATTGGAGAGGCTGGACAAACTTAGATTGTTTTTGCTGGGGCATCAGAGTCTGAGGGGTGACCTGAGAGAAGTATAAGAGGCATTTAGGCAGACACATGAAGAGGAAAGGAATAGAGAGGTACAGACCACGAGTAGGTAGATGGGATTACTTTAGAACAGCATCATGGTCAGCACAGACAATGGTGGGCCGAAGGGCCTGTTACTGTCCTATATTGTTCTACATTCTATGAAACAATTCTCTCTCAGTGATGGAAGTCTTTGGTCACTTACATTCCAAATCAGCCTGCTACCCTCTATCAGTGGGACCCATCAGCACTGTACAGAACTGCCTGAGTTGATAAGTTATGTTACATTTTCCTGTTTCAATAGATCAACTTGCCAGTGATTGCTGACGAGACAATTAAGTTAGCTCAGTTACAAAATGCCCCTTATCGACAAAAGGGATGCTGCGTTGTCAAAACAACGTGAAGACAAGCAGAGAGGGGTGGCATAAATTGTGAGATCCTTGCTGGTTTATATACTGTTTGAAAATGAAAACCAAAAGCAGGTTGAAGCTGAGTTTCTGTGCTTCAAATACGCTTAAGAACTATCCTGAATTCATATTAATTAGTCAACTTTCTTTGAAAAGTTATGAGTCATCTTCAGGTCCCATGTTAGATCTTGTTAAGAGTCATTTGGGTTTTTGAAATGAAGTACGTTATCTATTATTATAAATTCAACTTGAATTTAAAACATGATGCCTTACACATTATGACCGGTTACAGGTAAAGGGAATAAACTATCACAAAGGATGATTAACTCTGTCTCAGATTATAGTGTTCACATCCCATGAGGCAGGTCTGATTCTTTGGATTAAGCTGATGCTTTAAAGGTGAAGTGAGGGTCTTGTAAAGAGGATTCTCAGCAGGCTGAGATGGTACTGAATTAATTACCTTAAATCTAGGAGGTTAACCTGACGTTGAAATAAATATTGGAGTCGGTATTGAAACAGGCATTGGTGGGGCTCTTGTGGGACAGTGGTAGTGTCCCTACCTCTGAATCAGGAGGCCTGGGTTCCAGACCCCACCTGTTCCAGAGTTGTGTCATAACATTTCTGAACAGGTCGGTTAGAAAAATATCTGGAGCAGGTATTGGGGCTTCCTTCTCTCATTTGCAATTTCCTGCTAACAAGGTATTGCTGTTCATTAGAGACAACAAGGTGTAGAGCTGGATGAACACAGCAGGCCAAGCAGCATCAGAGGAGCAGGAAACCTAACACTTCAGGTCTAGACCCTTCTTCAGATCCTTCTTCTCCAGCATCGGCAGTTCCTACTATTGCTGTTCGTCAGTTTGGCTGCTCAAACAATGTGTAGTTAGAAGCTTTCTAGTAGAAATTGTCACAGTACAGCTCATGGTTGATATTAAAAGTAGACAACCCATCTCCCTCATCCTGTGACATTTACAAGTTTAAACTCATTTTCCCAAGAAGGGAGAGTGTTGAGATTTCAACCTTCTGCAATACCTCCTTTGGCCACAGATGGAATTTTGGATGTTCGTTTTTGTTTACATTCTAACAGATAGACAGGTAAGTTGCTAATAATTCTCCTTTTTGTTGATCTATCCTTAAAAACACAGAGGCACACATTTCCCTGGACACTTGTGAATGCCCATTTTTAATTCGGTGTTCGCTCGGGATTTAGGACTTTCTGCAGCTGAAATGACAAGGTCACTGTTGTGATTGTAATGAGGTCAGCCAGATGGACCTCATAGAATGGGAGTTCCCTGACTGGGGCTATTAACCTAGTCCAATCAGGGAGCACTGACTGACAGATAAAACCAGGAGTGTCAAACATGCTGTTCACACTGAGAGCTGACTCTGACGAGGCTGTACCACAGTCAAGGACTTTCTATATGTAGGTAAAAGATAACTTATAGAGTCATAGAATTGTACAGCACAGAAACAGACCCTTTGGTCCAACTCATCAATGCTGACTAGACATCCCAATCTAATAGAGTCCCATTTGCCAGCATTTGGCCCATATCCTTCTAAACCCTTCCTATTCATGCACCCATCCAGATGCCCTTTAAATGTTGTAATTGTACCAGCTTCCACCACTTCCTCTGGCAGCTTGTTCCATACATGCACCACCTCTGCGTGAAACATTTGCCCTAAGGTCTCCTTTAAATCTTTCCCCTCTCACCTTAAACCTATGCCCTCTAGCTTTGGATTCCCCCACCCTGGGGAAAAGACCTTGTCTATTTATCCTATCTATACCCCTCATGATTTTATAAACCTCTATAAGGTCACCCTGCAGCCTCCAACACTCCAGGGGAAATAGTCTCAGCCTCTCCCTATAGCTCAAAGCCCCCAACCCTGACAACATCCTTGTAAATGTTTTGACCCTTTCAAGTTTCACAACATCTTTCCTATAGCAGGGAGATCAGAATTGCATGCAGTATTCCAAACGTGGCCTAATCAACGTCCTGTACAGCCGCAACATGACCTCCCAACCCCTCAGTGATGGGATACCGGTCTCTGTGCAATTACTTCAATCACATAATTGGCAGGAACCATTTCAATAGTCTATTTGTATCCACTTTTTATAAGTATTGACTGAAAGTCCATATTGTACATATTTTCTAATCAACCTATGCAGCGATATGTTACTGCATACCTCTGGAATAGGTGGGATTTAAATCCAAGACTCCTGACTCAGAGGTAGGGACATTACCACTGTGCGTCAAGAACCCCAAAAGT